CTTCTGTGTGTCGGCGCCGAGTGGGTGCGGGCCTGGGGCAGACAGAGCGAGCGGACGGGAGGAATGATGCGTCGACGGGACCCGCATCGAATAAGAGCGGCCTAACGCGTTCTGCGCGGAACGGGCAGACGCTTGACACCGCGTACAATCTACGCTGACACTTGAGTCATAGGGGCAATGGTCGCCCCCTTATCCAGTCTAATGAAACGCACTGACCCCACGTCGACCCCCAAATCGACCCACAGGAGATGGCGCGACGTGATCTTCAAGAATACCGTCGATGTTGGGAGGATTGCGGATGTTCAGAACACGACCGCGCTGGAGAGAGGTTGGAGCCGCCCACACCCGCATCCCGACGGTATGCCCCGATATGGCAACATTAGCAGCCAGCACCGCCACCGGTGTAACCTCCCGGCGCTTATAATATGGTGCTAGCCTTTCTGGGCCTCGCCCTAACGCCACAACTTCATGAACCCGCGCCAGAACATGGCAGCGTGTGAGGGCCAGGCTGGCGGGCACTCGGATGTACGTATTCGAGGGCAGTTAGAGGTTCTATGACGAAGGCACCCAACGATACGCCGTCGGTATACTTCCGTAGAACATAAAGCTCCTGGTGATTGGGCATTCCGGCATTTCCGGACTCAGGTTCAGACTTCCAACAAGCTTCGCGGTAGGCACCGCACGGGTATGCGGTTGAAGAGTGTAGAGTCTCGGGAAACCGAGCGCAATATACAGGGAGCCAGGACGGTGATAATATACGAAGCGCTTCCGACGTCAACTTGTTCGTTCCTTCTCGGGAAGATGACGGGACGGCAGGATGTTCACATCTCGCTTGGCGCGCGTTGCCGCTGCACGAACTGCCAGTGTGGCAACTGTGCGCGCATCACCTGGCACATACAGTTTGTTCCATAGGGCTGCCGCAGAAACAACATGGTCGGTGAACGGCGTGTATTTTGCGAGAAACAAAGACGGGCAGGGAGGCATCCTCGGAAACGGCATCGACGTTAATGAAATACACCTATAGGAGCCGTCCCGCCCCGAACTAGGGTCTTGACGACGTCCGTCTGTCGGTGTGGCGTCGGCTCGAACTTCGAAGAGCACAAATGTGACGACCAACTCGTGTGCGCGACTCGCCGCGCGAGTTTCGATGACGTCCACTGCGACGGCCGTGGAATCCAATATTGTGCCGTTCTAAGAGGTACCTGTAAGGGGAACCGGCGGATGCACGAGAGCCTACGGAAGGCAGAGGCGTGAGCCGCCGAACAGGTGTATAGGGCCGTGCTGACAGCCCGTCCCCGGAACACCTATTATTCGCCCGCTGCGCATTTATGGCATCCCGCTACCAAGATACGAGATGCGGAGGTGTATACCGCGACTGCCTGGGATCGCAGCGTCAGTGCAGTGTAGGATGAGTATTGACGGTGTCACGGTACCGGCGGAACTATCGGGGGGTGCGTAGCCTGCGAGCGGTAACGCGATAGACTACAATACCACTACAGTACCGCGCATCGCTGTACTGAGACTAAGCGGGAGAGGAGTTCATTTGTCCGGTCTCTTCAACGTCCCTCGAGTTCCCGGTGCTAGAACATCGCAATGACTAGCGCCGCCGTGCGCGGGACTGTCGCAGACAGGAATAGTGTTCTTGATGACTGCGGAAGAGCGTCTGCATAGCCAGAGGCTGCGGTGCGAGAATCGTGGACGACCCGATACCGGACCAGGAAAGGAGAACTGCAGAGAAGAAGCTGGGAGGCGGTGGACGCAGAAGGTGCGCCAAGGGACAGATATCTGGATGCCGAGAGCCTAGAGGGCGCTGGGGATGGTTGGCGTCAGGACGGGATGCTTGTAGCCGAGACAACCAAGCCAGGGCCAAGCTGCTGTGCCCGACGCCCGTTACACATGTACAGTGCCGCAGAGGTGCCATAGTATGGTCTTGAGCGCAGATATCGACTTCAGGCGACTGCAGGACATTCGCAGCTGACCGGACACGACCACCTAGGAGAGTGCGCCTTTCATTTTGTTCAGTTATGAAGCCAGACGCGGAAGACACCCTGCATTGGACTGCGCATGCGCAGCTGCGGATCTACGTTTAGCAGCGCTACACTGTGCTCGATAACCCTGAAGATCGTTGCTGCGCTCGGAGGGCTGGTGGCTGCAGAAGCGTCCTGGCGAGCGAGACTCAGAGTCGAGCGTCGGGGGTCTCGGCGGACGGCGCTAGGATGAGCGGGAGAGGCTGGGCGAGCTCGGACGGTGATTGGACGAATGAGCCGACGGCATGGACGAAAGGGGACGGAGGCGGGAGCTTGGCGCGGGCGCCCAGGGGAAGAAGCGCTGCGGATCTGAGAGTGGACTGAGACTGAGAATAGGACAGTGGACTGGCGGCTGCGGATTGTCCTCCTTCTTTGTTCTCGTCGCCATCGTCCTCCTCTCCCCCGCCGTCCCCCTCGTCCGCCCTCGTCGTGCTTGCCGTGCTGGACACGCCCACGCTCTTTCGCTCTCTTCGCGCATCCGGAGGCAAGCATCGCATTTCCGCATACGGCCGGTGGATATCCACGCACCTACTCCAAGGACCAGGCTGCGCTCGGATTACTCATCGGAGCATCATCATCCTTGGCCCCGCGCTGTGCGCAGCTCCTCGCCTTTTCCTACTTCAACTCCCTTTCCCTCCTTCTCCTCCTCCGTCTATCCTACCTTCCGCCCGGACTACTCTTCTCTTAATTTCCTGCACGCCACCATAGTCCCCCGCAGCTATGCATCTCTTACCGTACTCGCTCGCTGTCTCATGTCTGCTCTTACTCGCTCATGACCAAGCTCTCGCTGCACCCTCGCCGTCGACCACGCCTATACCACGCTCTATCCCGCTGCTCAGGAGGTCCAGGCCGCAACGCAACTCTTCCGAGCTCTCGAACTGGCTGAAGAGCCAGAAGGAGATCCTCGAGGCCAAGTATAGCAGCAATCCACAGCGCAAGCGTGCCAGTGGCTTCAACCTGTGCGTCCTTCCTCTGCTCTTTGTCTTCCGTGCCGTACGCTGACTATCTTTCAGCCTCACGAACCAGAATGCCGACTCTAGCTTCTACGGGTCAATAGCAGTTGGCACGCCCGCTATATCCTACAACGTCATCCTCGACACAGGTTCATCCGACCTCTGGATTGCGGCCTCGGATGGCGTGTCGACGAACCAGGACGGGATACCCACTTTTGATTCCTCAGGTATGGCACCCCACCACCGCGCCAACGCAGCCCTTGCTGACGCGGTACCATAGCGTCCAGTACGTTCACCGACCTCAACACGAGTTTCTCCATCAACTACGGCTCCGGTGCTGCTCGGGGCACGCTGGGGAAGGACGTCGTCCAGTTCGCGGGCTTCGAGGTACAATCACAAACATTTGGTGCGTCTACTCCATCCCGCTGCGCACGACGTCAGGCATTGAGTGCTCCATTCAGGCGTCGTCAACCAAGTGTCCTCGGGGCTCTTGAACGCGCCCGTGTCCGGCCTCATGGGGCTCGGCTTCGCAAGCATCGCTGCGTCTGGAGCGACGCCGTTCTGGCAGACGCTCGTGGAGAACGACGGCACGCTCGACTCGCCGCTCATGGCGTTCCAGCTGACGCGCTTCGTCGACGCGTCGAACGTGCAGAACCTCGAGCCGGGCGGCACGTTCACGCTCGGCGCGGTGAACAACACGCTCTTCACGGGCGACATCGACTACCAGGACATCCCGTCCGGGCAGGAGGGCTACTGGATCCAGCAGCTGAGCGGTACGTCTCTCCGCGCGTGTGCCTGTGTTCGCCTCCGCATGAGCTCATCGCTGCGCGTGCAGGCCTCACGGTCAACGGCAACTCTGTGACAGTTGGATCCGGGTCGGCGGCGTACGCCGCAATTGACACCGGCACCACCCTCGTCGGCGGCCCTCAAGACGTCATCTCGGCGCTTTACGCCCAGATCCCAGGCAGCCAGGCACTCTCCGGCCAGAACGCAGGCTACTGGACATATCGTACGTCTTCCGCCCACTCCCCTTACATGCACAGAAGCTGAACTGCCCGGTGCTCCTCTCGCAGCGTGCGACACGGACGTGAACGTGACGCTGCGGTTCGGGTCGAGCAGCATCGACTGGCCGGTCTCGAACGCGGACTTCCTGCTCGAGCAGGCGTCGCGCGACACGTGCGTCGGCGCGTTCTTCGCGCTCAGCACGTCCGGCACGAGCGCGCCGCCGTGGATCGTCGGCGACACGTTCCTCAAGAACGTCTACTCTGTCTTCCGCGCGCAGCCCGCGTCCGTCGGCTTCGCGCAGCTCTCCGACGCCGCGCTCGCGATGAACGGCAAGGGCGGCAGCCCGCCGTCGCCCACCGTCGGCGCCGTCGCGGCGACGGTGAGCGGCTCGAGCGCGGGCTCGGGCACGGACCGCTCGTCGAACGCGAACGGCGCGTCTGCGGTCGCGGTGGGCTCCACGCTCGGCATGTGGGCCGTGGTGCTGCTTTCTGGTGTCGTCGGCGGCGCCATCCTGGTATAGGACTCGGATTCCACACATAGACGTGCAGCGCTGCGCTGCGCTGCCGAGGATGAGAGGCGAACGAGGCGATCATGCTTGCTGCTTCGGGGTTCCAGTCGCGCGTGCAGGATTGCGAGTCGAGTCCGGTTCCAAGGCAGTTGGCCTATCGTAATCACACGGACAATTGCCACCACGCTGTATCATTAGCTTGCTTCTGTGGCCCTGCGGGGACTCTGCCCGGTCTGCTCTTGAATACCTAGTCACGCTGTTTATATTTACACGGACGCTATACGTAGTACGGCATCGCATACCATCGAATGACAACTAGCTTACCCGCGACCGTATCCCTGGTGAAGCAGCCTGAATCGTTGGTAGCTTCAAGGGAGGGCATGAAGTAGACATACTTCACCGTCGGATTCGAAGGAATCGAAGCGCATGTGAGGCACCATGGCTAGCTCCGTGGTCAGCTCAGACGGAACGAGATGGACGGACAAAAACGAAGTACAACAGACACAGCTCTCTGTCGGGGAGTCGAACCCCGCTTTCGCGCGGCCAATCACAGTGACAGGCGCGTGTACTAACCGATATACTAACAGAGAGATGCTATTGCTACCCAGTTGACCCATTATGACCACGCTACAGCTTAATTTTGCCAGATATCCTGCCATGCTCCTCGCTTGGGTTACTCGAGCTACTGTACCAGTACTGTACCCCGGTCCCCGACCCGCTACTCCAGTCATCCCAATTATCGACGAAGAGCCTATATACGGTTCACAACACAGCGCAACAGTCCCTCCCTCTCATTAGCAGCGATAAGAGTGAGCGTGGGTCAGGGTCTCGGACTTGACAGGCTTAGCTGCCACTGTGGTAGCAGTGCACCGTGACGGAACACTACTACCTACTACAGCTTCCAGGAGGCCCGAGCAGCGATTTACTGATGCTATTGCTACAGAATCAGAACGCCTGCCTTCCTTCGTCATTCGTCTTCTGAGGAACTGTGGTCGGTCTCCGGTTCGATCACTGCTGCCCCGGCACGGCATCGCCGTCTCCTCCTGCCAGCACTCTCGAGTCCCAGCGTGGCAAGACTCCTGGAAAGCTGCCTGCGAGCGGCTGCTCGGCGCTCAGGCCATCGATACTGCCTTCAGTTCGCGTCGTTTCCCGGTCCTAGTGCGACCAGGGCGCCTCAAGTATTAGTACCCGAATCTCTCGCTGTCTCGGGGTGCTTCGGCGCTCGTGCTGCTCACCTCTCGCCGCCACGATCTCCAGCTCCTACCAAGATGGTCGCAGCACCCCCGCAACCCATCGAGTTCCATTTCGACCCTATGGGCACCACCGAGGCCCTCGAGCGGTACTCTCCGGGCGGGTACCACCCCGTGGTCATCGGGGACATGCTCGACTCGCAGCCCGGACTCGCCTCTCATGAGCGGCGGTACCGCGTGCTGCACAAGCTGGGCTTCGGCTCGTTCGCCACCGTATGGCTCGCGAGAGACGTTCAGTCAAGGTGGGCAATGCGTCGATAGAGAGAAGCGGTGCACTGAGCATATCTGCTTCGCGCAGCACGTTCGTAGCACTCAAGCTTACCACGGCAGATTCGGGGGCACAGGAGGCGCGGGAGGCGCGCATGCTGCAGAAGCTCGCTGTCAGTCCGACGGAGCCCTCCACGCATGTCCTCTCGCTGCAGGACCACTTTATCATTGACGGGCCGAACGGCTCGCACCACGTCCTGGTCACAGACGTGGTGCTGCCGCTCCTCTCGATCCTAAAACCCAGCACGGAGCCCAGCTGGCGCAAGGCCCTGGCTCGAGGCCTGGTGCTAGGTGTCGCGCATATGCACCGCCGTGGGGTCAAACACGGAGGTAGGCGCGCTCCCTTCAACCACACTTTATCGATGCTGAGGGGAATCGTCTAGATCTGCACTTAGGAAACCTTGCATGTGCGATGCCCGAGCTCGCGTCTCAGGACGAGGACGACGTCATGCAGGACTTGACTCCGTACGACCTCACGATCGTCCTGCCCCGGGAGCCGTCGGACCAGACCCCCTCCCTACCGCCGTACGTCGTAGGCCCTTGTGAACTGGGTAAGTACTGGGAGAGCATACGCTCGCCGGATAGCCCGCCCGAGGTCAAGATACTGGACTTTGGCAACGGTACGCGGTCGTGTTGTATGCGTACGCGAGAATGTCCTGCTGAGAAAGCGTAGCTCGCGAGGCTCACGAGGCCGCTGGCGAGCTCCAGTGTGCTGTGGAAGCCTGCGCGCCGGAGGTGGCATTCGCTCGCGTCGCCCTGGGCCACTCGAGTCCGGAGTGGGGGCTTCCAAGTGACGTGTGGGCGGTCGGCGCAACAGTCTGTCTCAGTTTTGCTGCGCGGCGTATCCGTATACTGAGACCGTCCCATCAGATATACGAGATCGTAACGGGCTCGTCGCTGTTCTACGGCGTCGGCCTCGCAGAGGGGTTGCTCGGCCGCTTGGCCACTCTTGCTGGCGCCGTCCCGCCGCAGTGGCAGTCCTACTGGCAGTCACGCCCTCATCTGCGGCAGAGTGGTATATCCCTATACATATTGTTTGTTCTGTCGCCGTATCGCTGACGTTGAATCGGCAGAAATATCGGCCGAGGTTGCAGACAGCGAATGGGAACGGCGCCGTGCGTTACTGCGAAAGGGCTGCGTTGACGATGCGGACGCGGATCGGCTCGTGCAGCTACTCCGCAGGGTGCTGGTGCTAGAGCCCGACAGGAGGCCGAGCATTGAGGACGTGGTGCGGGATGCGTGGTTCCGAGACGGTAAGCGTCGCCAATGATTCTGGTAACCGTCCTGACTTTCGACGTGTTGTGCTCAATTCGATCTCAGATGTATGACTCAGCTACACACGCTCTTGCGCTGTCTTTGTTATTCCGACTCTTCGAGTGTTCTCATTCCGTGGCATCTCGCAGCGCGCCGTGTAGGTTCTTTCGACGACGGACTCTCATGGTATCGGGGCCAAGCCTGTTGCTCGAACGTGCATAATGCGACCGACACGGTTTGGTGTTAGTTCATTCGACGAAACGAAGTGGCGCGTCCCCTGGACAGGCTCCTGCGGCCTCCTGCTGCGACACCATCACGAGTGCGTCAGAGGCCTTTCCCTCTGACCGGCCTCCGAGCTGTCAACGGTCGGGTAAAGATGCTGGCCGGGTCTTTCGCGTTGCTGTCCTTTGATCCCTTGTAGAACGTCGCAGGAACGACAACCCGAAGCTACTCCCTGGCGCGCATCGGGCGAGGTGCTCCGGCTGCCGCAACATTCAGTGAGAACGCGCTTTTCTTCGTGAATAGCGATCGTTGCACCCGCTGACCCAGTCTGGTGATGTGTTCAGGATCGCACTTTGTAGCAGCTGTCAACTGGACACACTTTGTGGCTCTCTATTTCGTAACTGCTGGGGAACTCAGCAATTTCGAGCGAGTCGGTCAACGGCGCAGACATCGGTGTGGCCTCCTAATCCCGAACACCGGTGACAGCTACGACATAGAGCTGACCGGCGGTACTATGGCGAGGTTCGACAAGTCCATCTCAATGAGTTGAACGCATACGCCAAGCTCGATCATATATAAATGGCCGTCATTGCAGACCATGGAGCACGGATTCCTCAGACATGGCAGACCCCCAGAAGGACAAACCGGGACACGCAAAGATCGGCGACGTGACGGTGTACTATCTATACGATGCACCTCATGCCACCAAGGATCTGAAGCATGAGCTTCAGGTTCTACAGACCTTCGTGGCCAATTGGAATGCCGGTACAGGGGTGCGTACACAGGCCCATGTCCGAACCTCCCATTGTTGCTCAGACTCACCGTCTCCTCAGGACACCCGGAACCCCCCTTGGCTCCCGTCGGGAACCAAAGCTCCGCCGCCGGTGAAGAACCTGCTCATCACGTCAGTACTCTTGCGCATTGATGATTCTGTGCGCACCTTGGCTGAAACTACAATGAATATGCAGGAAAAACAATCATAAGTCCACGCACGAGAGCAGCGCGAACCAGCCCAAGCACATCTCGGCCTACGTGATCAACGAGGCCGGATGGGCGCTCGATCCCCACGAGTACGGCGCGGTCGTGCACATTTTCGCTGTCGACGAAGACCCCGCAAAGGGGTACAAGGACTACTGGATGTACTCGAAATTGCGCCAGAAGGTTAACAGCAAGAAGATCAAGGATGCACTCGCCGCCGCCGAGGCTCATGATCTCGGGACCTTGGGCCAGGGCGCTTTGGCTTAAGCCTGCGCTGCGGAGCTATCCGTATGTTCAATTCCTTAGTCTGCATACTAATTATACTGACACCAATGGAGTACACGTAGTCGAACGTGATGGTCTGGTGGGAGGTTGTAGGATGTTCAAGTTGTAGTCCATGTGAGGCTTCTATGAGTTGCGCCGAAATTATGCTGTTCCGATTCTGCTATGCGAGCAGGCTCCGATGACGCAAACAGATGGCATCCTTCTAAGAGCAGCTGCACGAACCTACAGCGGAAGCAACAGTCCCTAATAGGCGGCGGCGGACGCTCGAGCCCTGGCAACTCACGGGGTCGTGCCGCGCGCTCGTCTTTCAAGGTCGCTACCGTTTACTACCGGAGTGCATATTCTATTGCCCAGGCTGCACGACGAACCAGGAAGGGTGAGGCCCTACATATTAGCGAGTATCCTGGACCGGACCTTGCAGCTTCCTGGTACCATGATCAAGTGAACCCAGGTGTGCGCACCCAGAATACATCGTCCTTCGCTGCACCCTGCCTAGCTGTGGACAGCAGTCTCGGAGTAATGGTCCCATGGACTCCACCAGCTGCCCCACTGAACCATGCTCGACACACAGAAGTCGTCGACCTCGTCCCGGCTGGGCATTGCACCTACCGAGTTCCTGCAGGCGCGAAGTAAGAATGGCTCTGGTGTGCCAGGATTGATCATCGCACCTGCTGACCTCCACCGGCGGTATGTCTAGGGCCTCGTCCTTGTCAAGCACTGACTGCCAGAGTGGCTCTTCCTCCCATGACGCCGCCGAGGGTCGCAGCTTCGAGCGACAGGCTGCACCAGATCGAATGCGCTTCTATGCACGTCCTGGCACCGCGTCTCCGGGCTTGAAGATGTATAAATACTCACCGTTCTACACGAGTGCCCCGAACTCGACCACCAGCGATGTCGAACCCAGGACACGCGAAGATCACTGGCGCGACGGTGTACTACCTGTACACCGCCCCTCCTACCCAGGATCTCAAGCACGAGCTCCAGGTCCTCCAGACGTTCGTCGCCAGGTGGAATGCCGATACAGGGGTGCGTACCCAGGTCCATGTCCGAACGTCCGACTGTTGCTCATACTCACGGTCTCCTCAGGACACCCGGAACCCCCCTTGGCTCCCGTCGGGAACCAAAGCTCCGCCACCGGTGAAGAACCTGCTCATCACGTCAGTACTCTTTGGCATCCATGTGACCCAAGTTCGTACCATGACTGATGCTACAACGGATACTCCAGGGCAAACAATCACAAGTCCACGCACGCGAGCAGTGCGAACCAGCCCAAGCACATCTCGGCCTACGTGACCAACGAGGACGGGTGGAAGCTGGATCCGCACGAGTACGGC